TTTTCTGTATAAGGTACCCTATGAATGGGGTATTTCCAGAAGTCAGAGTTTGTTTTGTCTCATCCCGTCTCGTCTGCTGTTGAATTATTCATACTTTTCTTTCCAATGCGACTTAATTTCACTTGTTCTTTTTTTAATTTTGGAGTAAATAATGTCACCAGCGATTGAGTGATAACAAATCAGAGTGCAGCAAGTCGGGGTTGATCTTCCCGACGTACGCCGTGACTTGTTTTGTCACATTGTTGCCGTTGCGTGCAATGGGCAAATTATTGCTATTCTAGTTATTTTTTTTTTTGATTTGAAGGCTCTGCACCTTTGAAAGACTTCGCAACATATTGCAGACTTCCGTTTTTATCACTGTCTTTGTATGGCTAACAAAAGCGGGATTACCTAAATCGATCAATACATGTTATTGTTTTAAATACGTGCAAGACGAGACTGACACTTGTAAACAAAAATATAAGCATCACGGCTGAGTGACCAAGCGTCACGGACAAAGGGCAAGCATCACGACCGAGTGTCCAAGCGTCACGGTACCGTGTCGCTTCAGAGGCCTGGGGAGAACACTGATTGGTCATATTCATAGTCTTCTTTTTTTTTTGCCATGAAACATTGCAAGTGATTGTGTTTTGATGAAAGAGACAAAAATTATGTATGTCATCAGAGGTACATTACTTGGTCTTTGGGTTTGCAACGCGCATAGTACTGTATGGTGACATCATGTCAAGATCCCATTCAAGTCTCTTCTCGTAGATAGCGAGACTGAGGCTACGACCTTCTGACATGACATATATCAATGTTCAAGGTTTGTAATAAAAAAAATAAAACATTTCTTGCCACTATCATAGTAAAAAAATGTAATACATCGAAAATGTACAGAAAATATAGTTCTTGATCCACCTGGACCACACAGTAACCTAGTTACCTTGGGCATGCACATTTGCATTGTTCTTAGTTGGAAACACTTATGCGTAGTCCCGTAGTTGCAATCACTGATTTTTAATTCGACAAATCAAAATTTCAATGTAAACAAAATGTTTTACGGTAGTGCATTGTTAACAGAATTTGTGTTAATGTTGAATTACTAATATTGTTTTCTGTTCCAACAGAAAGAGTTATGTAATATGTTTTTGGATTGCTGTGCCCAGCAAAGATCTTATGAAAAATTCTTTGGTCTGCTGTCACAGGTGAGTCACAAATGATTTGATTGAAGTTGGCTGACTGGTGGATATTCAATACATTTAAAATTCTTGTTTTTGTTCAATAAAAATACTTCAATGACTAATAGACCATTTTCCGTTCACTGCGAGAATCGCGCGTTATGCGTGAAATCGAATGAAAAAACAGGACAAACAAAGGTCATAGCATCGTAGTCGCGTCAAAGATCGCGTGGGATTCGACAAACGCGCAAGTATTTTCGGGGACATTTCCATGCTTAATAATGTGCTGTCCACATTTGATGATAGGCAATTTCGATTAAGTAAGGGTATTCGGAAGCAATATTTCTCTGTCAAAGATCGGCCCGTCATTGTAAGCTACAAAATAAAGAAATTCTCGTTCAAAATCAAATCGTTCGATTTTTGCGGCAGGCGTTCGACGCGCGTCTTTCATGCATCTCGCGAGATCTCGCAATTGTACGGAAAATCACCTATTATTTTGATCATATCTCAAATTTTGTAAATGTGTGCCACCAGTGTTTATATAATGTACATCTAATCCATTATTTGTGAATCATTTCCTTAATACATTAATGGACAGTGTGACATTGATGATTGTGTTCTTATTATTGCAGAGATTTTGTCAGTTGAAGAAAGAGTATGTTCAGCAGTTTGAATTCATTTTCAAGGAACAATATGATACTTGTCATAGATTGGAAACAAATAAATTACGTAATGTGGCCAAGATATTTGCCCATTTATTGTATACTGACGCAATTGCTTGGACGGTAAGTAATAAACAATTTGTCGACATAATCCCCACACATCATCACAACCAAATCATTGGATGGTAAGTAATAATTAAACAACGTACTAACATAATCTCCACACATCATCACAACCAAATCATTGGATGGTAAGTAATAATTAAACAATGTGTCAACTTAATCCCCACACACCATCACAACCAAATCATTGGATGGTAAGTAATAATTAAACAACGTACTAACATAATCTCCACACATCATCACAACCAAATCATTGGATGGTAAGTAATAATTAAACAATGTGTCAACTTAATCCCCACACCATCATAACCAAATGCATTCTGCGATCTCCACAGGAAGTTGCATATTTCTTATATGCAGTCAAAATAAATAACATATCAGTGCGTCCATCAATATCTTGGACATGTCTGTACTAATCACCTTCAAACTTCACACGCATCAATGCAGATACATACATTTGTTTCACAATCTGTTTCAAGATGGCCGAATAGCAATCTTGTTCAAAACAGCAGTATTACAAGCAAAGTAGCTGACTGGTTTACAATGTGCATTCAAAGTAATTACATGATTAGATTAAATCAAACCATTTTTATGTTGGTGTGTTGTTGGATGTTTGCAATCTGATTTAGGGACCTTGCAGACACTGACAAATCTAATACAGGGCTCAAAATTAGCAGTAGTCTGCCCATTGACTACCAGTTTTCATGATGGGGCTACCACATTTTAAAGTTGGTAGCCCACAATGGCTACTAGAAATTGCAACAATCTGCTACCTACATGTGGTTTTGTTGATGTCTATCATCTGTTATATTTTTGTGTAAAATTACAAGTTTAGAAACAATGGTAAATTAAAAAATTTTTGTCCAAAAACAAAATTATATGACAGATAGGTAGTCAAGATCTTTTAAAGAATATTTTTATAATCTTAAATTACAAAATCAAAAACTGGGCTACCAGACTTTATTTTGGGACTACTAGCTTCACAAATTGGTAGCCCACTTGGGCTACCAAATAAATATGTTAATTTCAAGCCCTGTAATAACTATAGTTAACATCCCATCATTTTCTGGTTCCATGAAATGAAGGTTATATTTTTTTCAATCATATAGGTGCTTTCATGTATATCTTTGAATGAAGAAGATACCACATCATCTAGTAGAATATTTGTCAAGATTTTATTCCAAGAACTGTCTGAATATATGGGCTTACAAAAATTGAATGAAAGACTCAAAGACCAGTAAGTATAGACATCTTTTGCTGTATTCACAAACTTGTCTGGAATTCCCAGCTACTGGTAAGCTGTGTAGTAGTCTTGTTGTCCATGTATGTATGTATGTATGGAGAATTGGATAAGTGGTGAGTAAAATTTTGTGAGCAAAATTTGAATCACTAAAATTGCTCTTCATTTACCTACCGCTTTATGTATGTTCCACTGATATCTAGGTTAAAATTGACGAATATTAACCCTTTTCCGGTCAGGGGAGTTTCACGCTATCAGGTCAAGTCGGTGAAAAACGGTCGTGATTCAATGCACTCCAGTAGCCAGCATCTGTGCATGCTATCCTGCCAGACATTTTTGCAAAAATAGGCCACAGTTAACAGACTGTATCGACCTCAGTTTTCACATTTTTTGCAATCTGTTCGCATACACACTTCATTACCACCATGGACAACAATTTCTTCGTATAAAAAAATCACCGTTTTATTTTAATACACATTTTTTACTGTTGTTAAGTAACGATGTTTTGCCCTTTGTACAGTCTCAATAAACATGTGTTAAACATTGAAATAAATATTGCTTAATTTAAAACACATTACAAGCAAGTACAAGGTCACTACATGAATGCAAGTTCGAAGTAAGAAGAAAAAAAA